AAAAAAAAAAAAGACAGAAAAGAAAGAGAGAAAGATGGAGGGAGGGAGGAAGGAAGGAAAAGAGAGGGAGAGAGAAAGAAGGGAAAGAAAGGAAGAAGGAAGGAAGGGAGGGAGGGAAGGAGGGGGAGGGGGGAGAGAGAGAGAGAGAGAAAGATGGAGGGAGGGAGGAGGAAGGAAAAGAAAGAGAGAGAAAGAAAGATAGATGGAGGAAGGGAGGAGGAAGGAAAAGAAAGAGAAAGAGAAAGAAAGAGAGAAAGAAGGTAAAGAAAGGATGAAGGAAGGAAGGAAAAGAGAAAGAAAGTAGATAGATGGAGGGTGGGAGGAAGGAAGGAAAAGAAAGAGAGAGAAAGAAAGAAGGGAAAGAAAGGAAGAAAGAAGGAAGCAAGGAAAAGAGAAAGAAAGAAAGAAAGGAAAGAAAGAAAGAAAGAAAGAAAGAAAGAAAGAAAGAAAGAAAGAAAGAAAGAAAGAAAGAAAAGAAAAGAAAAAAGAAAAGAAAGGGAGAGAAAGAGAATGAAAGAAAGAGGTTTTTGCGGATGTAAGTTAAGTTACAGTGATGTCATAGGGGTGTCCTAATAGGAGGAGACGGACAGCAACAAAAACACAAAGGAAGATGGCCATGGGATGATGGAGGCAAAGATGTAGCCACAGAAAAAGCCACAGAACCCCAGGAATTGCTGGCAACCACCTGAAGCTAAGAGAGACTCAATAAAAGCTCCTCCCTAGAGCCATCAGCGGGAGTACAGCCCTGCTGATCTCTTGACTCCAGGCCTCTGGCCTCCAGAACCGGAAGAGAATCCATTCCTGTTGTTTTCAGCCATGCACTTTGTTACAGCAACCACAGGAATCTAATACCCACCCAGGGGCTTTGAAATATCTACAATTCTCTAGGCACCCTAGGCCAAGAGATGACATTCCTCATAGAGAAGAAAGGAAAGGAGGGGGCTCCGGTAGATTCGGGGTACTCCAGGATACCTACCAATAAAACCATGGAGGCCCGGGTCCCAGGGGGCCGTGGAGGGAGCTGGAGATAAGTGGAGGAGCCAGAGGGTGCCTGGGAGGAATGTTGAAATGGAGATGTTTAGAAATCGGCATGTCTTAGTGACAAATAGTAGAGTGGGCGTGTCCATAATTGAAGTGCTTTAGGAGATATTTTGAGGTTCAGAACTGGGCCCTCTCAACTTCCTCAACTACCTGCTCTCCAGCTGTGTGCCACTGTGGGGACACAGAGGGTGATAATAAATGCACCAGCCTGGCAAAACAGCCCCACGGGATGATGGAATTTGCTGCTGTCATTCTCAGATTTGCAGTCAGCTTATGGATATTCTGAGCTACAGTCCCATTATGCTCAGACAAAACAGCAGGCAACCAACTTGCAAGGTGAACTGGGGACACAAGGGAGATGCAAACCTCTCACTGCACTGTCTTGGCACGGAGTATCCAGGACTACAATCCCCATGATGCTTAAAGAGCAATGGCTGGGCCAGGTGCGGTGGCTCACGCCTGTAATCCCAGTACTTTGGGAGGCTGAGGTGGGCGGATCACCCGAAGTCAGGAGTTCGAGACCAGCTTGGTCAACATGAGGAAACCTCGTCTCTACCAAAAATACAAAAATCAGCCGGGACGTAGTGGCGGATGCCTGTAATCCCAGCTACTTGGGAGGCTGAGGCAGGAGAATCACCTGAACCCGGAAAACGGAGGTTGTAGTGAGCCAAGATTGTGCCACAGACCTCTAATCTTGGCGACAGAGCAAGACTCCATCTCAAAGAAGAAGAAAAAAAAAAAAACAATGGCCGCAGACCAGCCTAGAAAGACAGCCCAGGTGCCTGATAGGAAATACGGTTCAAGCTCTCTCTCACCTGAGCTCAGCTGAGATCATTACGGACTACAATACCCGTGACACCCAGGGAGCAATGGCCTTGAGAATACGAAAAGACAGCCCTGAGGCCTTATGGGAGATGTAGTCCCATCCTTCTCACCTCTCTGCTCACCTGTGTTCTGGGCTCGTGACTCCAGTGCTGGGGACTCCTGGGGGGCTTTCCTCCCCCAGCCTCTGAGGGAGGTCCTCGGCGGGGAGTGGGGGGTCGGGAGAGGGTCTGGCGTTGGGGGCCCCAATCCAGAGGAGGTCGGACATCAATGCGACTCAGCGGGGTATGAGGTCGGGCAGGGGGTGCTGTGTCTCCTGAGGGGGCAGGAGGTCGCCGCGCAGGAGCAGAACGGGGACGGGGGAGGCTCAGAGGCGAGGGAGGGCGAGAGAGGGGGGTGAACAGGCTGTGGGAAGGAGAGAATCGGGGAACTGAGTCAACTAGAGCCCTCTCCATCCACCTCCTTACCCATCAAGTCAGCCTCAAGGACATGTCTCACTTCACTGTGTCTTACTGTCCTTCTGGGTTAGAATCCTCCTCTACTGTCCAAATTCTCAGTAATGTTCGCTTTGTGGCATCTTCCCCTCCAGTCCTCCCCGACAGGCTGTGACCCCCCCCCGCCACGGGAGCCCCAGCAAGTCACACACAGTCAGGCAGAAAGCGCTAAGGCCCGCCCCCAACCAGTTTCCGGCCCCGCCCTTCACTTAGGCCACGCCCCCACCTGTGTCCTCCCTACTCACTCGGGGCTTCTTGCCCTCCGGATCTGGAGTCCAGACTGGAGGTCAATTGTGGGGCTGGGAGTGAGCAGCCTGGGTCTACCACGACCTCTGGAGAGTCGAGCCACTTCCGGTGATTCCGAGATGCGCCCCTCTTCCCCGCTGCTCACCTCCGGGGGACCACCGGGGCCGCCAGGGCCCTCCCCGGGCTGGGGTCGTGCAGGTGACCTGGTTTGCCCACTAGCGAGTGGACACAGATAAGATATCACTCCTTCGAACTTCGTAACAGCCTTATTCTCTTGTCACAGGTAAGAACACAAGGATGCACCCAAAAAAGGAAAGCTGTGCACTATAAATCATCGTCCCCTTCTTCAGACAGGGAAACTGAGGCCTCCAATGTGGAACTGACCTGTGCGCCAGGCCACAACGTCTATCCAGGTTGCTGGACCCAATGCCCCGGAATATGGGATAGACTCAGCCAGGTAGTCCAGTTTCCAGCCTTGATAATTGGCGCAAGCCATGTCAGAGCTTAAGATAGTCTGACATTTTTTTAAAAACCTGACACTATCTTTTACCTGCCATTGTTTAGGTGGCAGCTCAGGGGACTTCAGAAGGAGCCAATCCGAGAGTGTGGAACATTGATCATTCCTGGGGCACAGCTGAGTGCGTGATTGAAGGGTCAGCTGGGGGGCGGGGACGGACACGGTGGTGGGCGGAGCTTAAAGGAGAAAGACTTTTGCTGATTGGAAAAGTTCCCTGGAGGTGGGGCCTAGAAGACGAGGCGCCTAACTAGAAGGCTAGTGATTGAACACTCAAGGGGGCAGGGCCCCAAAGGGGAGAAGTTGAGGTGATTAGACTGACTCAGGGTGGAGGGTCAGGAGCATGGCTTGGACCTCTACTCACCAGTCGTCCCCCTCCGCACGGGAGGCCCGGCCCAGCGCTCGTAGCCAGCCCCGCAGGTCTTCTAAGGTGTCAGCGGCCAAAACGTAGGTCCTCATGCCCGGGTGCTCTGCCTGCGGGAAGAGAAGGCTTGGAATCCGGACTTCCCGGCCTTGTAAAAAGGAGGACAGGCCGGGCCAGTGGCTCACTCCCGTAAACCCAGTGCTTTGGGAGGCCGATGCGGGAGGATCGTTTGAGACCAGCCTGGGCAACATAATGAGACCCCCCCACCCGCCACCTCCTTCCGACCCCGTCTCTACAAAAAAATCAAAAAATTAGCCAGACGTTGTGGAGCGCACCTGTAGTCCCAGCTACCCGGGAGACTGAGGCGGGAAGACTGCACTTTGCGTCACTGCACGCCAGCCTGGGTGACAGAGCAAGACCGTCAAGAAAGAAAGTAAAGAGGGAAAGAGGGAAGGGAAGGGAGAGAAAGAGAGAAAGAGAAAGAAAGAGAGAGAGAGAGAGAGAAAAAAAAAAAAAAAAGAAAAAAGAAAAGAGAAAAGAACTGGCCAGGTGTGGTGGCTCACACCTGTAATCCCAGCATTTTGGGAGGCTGAGGTGGGCGGATCAACTGAGGCCAGGAGTTTGAGACCAGCCTGGCCAGCACGGCGAAACCCCATCTCTACTAAAAATACAAAAAAATGAGCCGGGCATGGTGGCGTGCACCTGTAATCCCAGCTACTCCAGAGGCTGAGGCAGGAGAATCCCATGAACCGAGGAGGCGGAGGTTGCAGTGAGCCGAGATCGCACCACTGCACTCCAGCCTGGGTGACAGAGTGAGACTGTCTCAAAAAACAACAAAACAAAACAAAAACCAAAACAAAATCAAAGGAGGATGCAATTGACGCTTGTCAAGACCTTTTATCTCCAGTAATGGATACTCCAGTGCATGTTAGGACTTGAAATTTCCTCAGCAGATATCTACCCGCCCTCATCTCCAGTTCCCATTGCCTGGTGCACAACACGAATGGACGGACTCACGGTGAAGGTGAAGCGCCGCCCTCGGGGGGCTCCAGGCCCATCTGGCCTAATATTGTAGCTGGGGAGCAGGACACTGCCCAGGACACTCTCCTCGCGGCTGTCTGCAAAGAGGGGCTGAGGTCAAGGATCACACAGGGATCAGGAGGCCAAGACGCTAGAGAGAAGGGCAGGTTGGGGGGGCCCTCCCACCCCAAGCCAGCCAACCACTGACCCTTGTAATAAAAGAGGCAATGGCCGGAGAGGACGAACCAGCGGCGTTTCCAGAGACGGAGCCCCGAGCTGTCCTGGGGAGAGAGATGGGAGGAGGGGCCTGAGTAAAGGGAAACAGAGAAAAGAGATGAAGGCAGTGACGATGGGGACAGAGAGCCAGAGAGAGAAAGAAATTTGGAGAGAGAAGAACAGAGATATAGAGCAGGGATCAAGGGAGTGGGGTGAGGCTGGGCACAATGGCTCACGCCTGTAATCCCAGCACTTTGAGAGGCCAAGGCGGGTGGATCACTTGATTCCAGGAGTTTGAGACCAGCTTGGGTAACATGGCGAAACCCCGTCTCTACTAAAAAAACAAAAATTAGCCGGATGTTGTGGCGCATGCCTGTAGTCCCAGCTACTCACGAGGCTGAGGAGGGAGGATCACTTGAGCCTGGGAGTGGGGTGGAGGCACAGGAGAAAGACCCAGAGAGAGAGAAGAGACAGAGACACACAGACACATGTTTGGGGTGATGGAGTGGATAAGAAGGAGAGCTGGAAACCCTCTGAACATAATATAATAGAATAGAAGCCTTACTTCTATTACAAGTGTGGTGGTTGTGCTGACATAGATTCCGGACTCCCCTGCTTTCTTTTCTTTTCTCTCTCTCTCTTTTTTTTTTTTTTTTTTTAAGACAGAGTCTTGCTCTGTAGCTCAAGCTGGAGTGCTGTGGCGTGATCTCGGCTCATGGCAACCTCCGCCTCCCAGGTTCAAATGATTCTCCTGCCTCCCGAGTAGCTGAGATTACAGGCGCACACCACCACACCCAGCTAATTTTTGTATTTTTAGTAGAGACAGGATTTCCCTATGTTGACCAGGCTGGTCTTGGACTCCTGACCTCAAATGATCTACCCACCTCAGCCTCCCAAAGTGCTGGGATTACAGGCATGAGCCACTGCATCTGGCCTCCCCCACTTTCAAACTATGCTCTGGAACAAGTCACTTCCCCCTAGAATCCACCCTCATGTTTTCTCGTCTATCCGTTGGAGACTGAGAAGTTTTAGGGAGGTGTGGATGAGACATGGATCACATATAGGCAGAGACTTTAGCTACAGAGACTTAGTCCAATTATTCTGGAGCCTGAGACACAGACAGGCCAGGAAGGTGGCACTGAGCCATGACCCAAATTCAGCGTCTCCACATCGCCTCTGCCTGAACTACTCCACTATCTCCAACCTCGTGTGCCTCTTCTCCTCAACCCATTCCCATAGAAGCCCACATGATCTTTTAAAATTACACATCAGATCACGTTAGTGATCTTTTCAAAACAGAGAATTAAGAACACTTAGAATTAAGTCTCAAATTCCTTTCCATCACTTACTGTTTTTTGTTTGTTTGTTTGTTTTTGAGATGGAGTCTCGCTCTGTCACCCAGGCTGGAGTGCAATGGCACAATCTCGGCTGACTGCAACCTCCGCCTCCCGAGTTCAAGCGATTCTCCCGGCTCAGCCTCCTGAGGAGCTGGGACTACAGGTGCCCGCCACGATGCTGGATAATTTAGGTTGGTTTTTTTTTTTGTTTTTTTTCTTTGAGACGGAGTCTTCGTTTTGTCGCCCAGGCTGGAGTGCAGTGGCGCGATCTCGGCTCACTGCAAGCTCCGCCTCCCGGGTTCATGCCATTCTCCTGCCTCAGCCTCCCGAGTAGCTGGGACTTGTCGCCCAGGCTGGCATGCAGTGACATGAACACAGTTCACTGCAGCCTCACCTTCCTGGGCTTCAGCAATCCTATTGCCTTAGCCTCCCCGGAAGCTGGGACTACAGGCACACACCACCATACTCAGCTAGGTTTTTTTTGTTTGTTTTGTGTGTGTGTGTGTGTGTGTGTGTGTGTGTGTGTGTGTGTGTGTTTTGTAGAGATGAGGTTTGTTCATGTTGCCCAGGCTGGTCTAGAACTCCTAAGCTCAAGCGATCTTCCCGCCTTGGCCTTCCAAAATGCTGGGGTTACGCCACTGAACCTGGCCTCTATGTTACTTCTTCATAGCCCTTCCTGCAATCTGAAATGATCAAGTTCATTTATTTATTTACTAATTTATTATCCACCCATGTTCCATCTGATCTGGAATGTACTATAAATACTTGTTTGTGTTATTTGCATGGTGTGTGCCCTGGGATTGAGAACATTGTAAGTGTTCAAGAAGTATGCAAGACAGAATGAATGAATGGGCCAGGCGTGGTGGCTAACGCCTGTAATCCCAGCACTTTGGGAGGCCTTGTTTGTGTTATTTGCATGGTGTGTGCCCTGGGATTGAGAACATTGTAAGTGTTCAAGAAGTATGCAAGACAGAATGAATGAATGGGCCAGGCGTGGTGGCTCACGCCTCTAATCCCAGCATTTTAGGGAGCTTAGGCAGGCGGATCACTTGAGGTCAGGAGTTTGAGACCAGCCTGGCCAACATGGTAAAACCCCATCTCTACCGAAAATGCAAATATTAGCTAGGCATGGTGGCGCATGCCTATAAGCCCAGCTACTCAGGAGGCTGAGGCATGAGAATCACTTGAACTGGAGGCCAGAGGTTGCATTGAGCCGAGATCACACTATTGCCCTCCAGCCTGGGTGACAGGAAGAGACTGTCTTAAAAATAAACAAACAAACAAACAATGACAGAATAAGGAGAGGGGCAGTGATAGTAAGAAAAAGAAAGCCTATTTGGGGACTTGGAAGGTGAGAGACAGAGGACAGCCAGGGGCACAGACTCCAGTGTCCTTTTCCTTCTCCTACTGACCCCACCTGCTTATGAAGCCAGCCTCGGATGTGCACGGGAAGGTTGGGATCCCTCCTGAGCGCATTGCCTCTCTTCCCAAAGGCATGGACCTTGTTTACTGCCCGGGTGGGCTTCTGAGGAGAGAAGGGGACAGAAGTGAACAGGGAGAGCCTAGGATGGTCCCGAGAGGCAGTGAGGGTGGACACAGGCAACCGTAGGCTCTCGCTTGGCTGCCCTGAGAAATGGGTCAAGGACCAGCCGGGCGCAGTGGCTCACGCCTCTAATCCCAGCATTTTGAGGGGCTGAGGTGGGAGGATCACATGAAGCCAGGAGTTCGAGACCAGCCTGGCCAACATGGTGAAACCCCGTTTCTACTAAAAATATGAAAATTAGCCAGGCACAGTGGCGTGTGCTCATAGTCCCAGCTACTTGGGAGGCCGAGGCACAAGAATCTCTTGAACACAGGAAGCAGAGGTTGCAGTGAGCTAAGATTGTTCCACTGTACTCCAGCCTTGGTGACAGAGTAAGACTCTGTCTTAAAAAAAAAAAAAAAAGTTAAGTCGGGCACAGTGGCTACGCATGTAATCCCAACACTTTGGGAGGCCAAGACGGGCAGATCATGAGTCAGCAGATCGAGACCATCCTGGCTAACACGGTGAAACCCCGTCTCTACTAAAAATACCAAAAAGTTAGCCAGGCATGGTGGCAGGCGCCTGTAGCCCCAGTACTCGGGAGCTGAGGCAGGAGAATGGCGAGAACTGGGAGCAGAGCTTGCAGTGAGCGGAGATCGCACCACTGCACTCCAGCCTGGGCGACAGAGCAAGGACTCCATCTCAAAAAAAAAAAAAAAGAAAGAGAAGGGTCAAGGGGGGGCTGAGGTTGGGAGATCAGAATTGGGAGTGTTCTATTGCAGAGTAAGAGACTCTTTTTTTTTTTTTTTTTTTTTTGAGACAGCCTCTTTGGAGTGCAATGGGCTAAACACTGCAACCATTACTCCTGGACTCAGGTGATCCTCCAGCCTCAGCCTCCCATATAGCTGGGACCACAGGCACGTACCACCACGCCAGCTAATTTTTGATTTTGTAGAGGAGGGGGTCTTCACTTTGTTGCCCAGAATGGGAGAAAACTCTTTTTTTTTTTTTTTTTTTCCTTTTGAGGCAGAGTCTCGCTCTGTGTCACCCAGATCCGCTCGTGCCAATCCTCCTCCGTGTATGCAATTTGACTGCACGATATGCAAAACCTTCCCTTCCTCTCTCGCTTCCCACACAGGTGATTCTCCTGCCTCAGCCTCCCGAGTAGCTTGAGGATTTACAGCACGTGTCCACCCACGCCCTGGA